GATATCTTATTGTGTCTTTTATGACTTTATTATACTGACAGAAGAGAGATAACTCCCTGGACCTCCCCAATGATCTTGGTCCTTCTGTTTGAATAGTTTACTTTTAAAAAGAAAAAAGAGATTTTTTTCTCTCAGTTGCAAAAAAATTACACACACACATGACAGAGAGCTAGGGGCCAGTTACTCCAAGATATGGAACCCAGAGATTATGGATCCAGGCACTTGGGTTGGAGGCTTTAGTACTTGAGCTTTACCACCAGCGGTTCCGGCACTGTTTGGCTGCCAGCAGCAGTGAGTGGCAGCAGCTGACAGCTGGTACTACAGCTCTTGAATAGGACTTCAATTCTGGGATACTCAACCCTAGAGCAACAGGTGGTGTAGCTCTCAACCTTACAGCTTTGAGACCCTTTAGCTCCTGACAGCAGCTACAGTTAAAAGTCCTCAGGCTTAGGGTTTCTGAGACCCTTGACTCTTAAGGCTTAACAGTCCCTAGAACTCTTCTGTACTAGAGACTGCTATTTCTCTTCTCTGGCTCTTCAAAGCCTTCTATCTTGCTTTGCCTCAGCTCTCCATCCTCTCTCAACTTCTTTCCACTTCCACTGTACCTCCTTGTCTCTGCCACCTCTGCTCCCCAACTTTTCTGTCCCTCCTACCTGCCCTGTTGTCTCTACTGCCCCTGTCAAGATAGGGGCTGCTGCCACATATCTGCTACAAATTCCATCTTTGTCATATCAACTCATCCTATTCTACTAAAGACAAAAACAGGCATGAAATGACAATTTGGGAGAAACCTGTTATTAGAAATAATGTTGCAACCCCGGGGAGGGGGTTGGGCAGCACAACAGGGTATCTTCAGGTTGACTCAAAAAGTAAGCAGAACCCTATTCACTGGTGCTTGCACAAATTACATCTTACCTTCATGCAAATGAAGGACTGTGTTTGCCCCAATCACAGGCCTTCTTCTGTGTCACCAAGGCAAGTGCTTTCCCTGGGTGAAAATGGCTACAGGATCATCTAGAGTTCCCCAAGGCTTAGTGATGGCAAAAAGTCCAGCACAAGCTGTTTTAAAACAGCCTTGGCTACAGTGTAGCTTCCTCAAGGAGTCTGTGCAATGTTAAAAAGCAGCAGGACTGGGAGAGGGCAGTCTATTCAGATGTTTAGCTTTACTCAAGGCAGCTAGGGCACCAGGGAAGGGTCTAATAGCTGTCAATTAGGAGTCAAATCACCCTAGCCTCCAACTTCTTAGCATGTTTAAGTTAAAAATAAATATTAAATGAGGTGCTTAAAAGAAAGACTTGTGATTAACATTGACGATAATTTAACAGTGCTCTAACAATGCTGAGCTCTTGCTCCAGTGTTCCCAAGAGATGTGGAACCCCCTGGTCTGCCTCCACAGACTACTCACTAGGACAGTGGCTGAAGTAAGAAAAATTTAAGGGCCAATAAATCAAAGTAGCATTCAAGAGACTGCTAAATTAATCTGCCCTTGGCAACTCTAAAATCTATTCCATTGTCCCAGAACTATCACAGAATGCCTTTCAAGATGGCTCCCAGCACAAACTCTGTACCAATGCAACAGAGTTAATGAAAATATTCCAGTCTCGTTGTAGCATATATTCAAAAGCTGGATACATAAAGTAGATTTCATTTATCCTCAGTTGTCTTTTAGTTCTGTTGCTTTCCTGAGGAGGTCATACAGACATTCATCTTCAAGGTGCTTTTATTTGCCTTACTCTTGTATGATCATGGCTGCTGTAATTCCATATTCTGCTTCTGGGTTCCAGAAATATCCTTCTTAATCTCATGTGCAGCAGCAACCCTAGATTCACATGGCAATAAAGGTTGATTATCCCCCCACCAACATATTAATGCCTTTATTTCATTCTGGTCTACTAGCATGAAGAGCCCAAAGTGGCCAGATGATAGCAACAGCTTTGAGTTCAGCAAAACTCTTCTACTTCATGATAGAAACATTTTCCACCTGAGAAGTAGGACCTCATCTAGAAGAGCCTAAGTATACTGGGAAGATAAAATCATATTCTAGAAGCAGTTCATTAGAAGTAATAATTTTTTTAAAAATCAGTCTTACATGTATCCTCAGTTGACTGCAAAAATGGCCAATATTTCTGTCTTCCTCTCTTTGCACTTTACAATGAGACTTTGAAGTTCCTGCTATCCTGGGGCAAATTCTTTTATCATCTTTTGAAACTGGATTGGTCTCAAGACTTACAATGTAGCGGAAATGATTCTATGTGAATTTTAAACCTAGACCTGAAAAGGTCTTTCATGTTTTCTTCTCCTTCTCCTTCCCCACCCTTTTTCTTCCTTCTTTCTTTTCTTTTCTTCTTCTCTTAATTCCTTTGCTCCTTTCTCTTCTTGCTTCTGTTGTTGCTCTTCCTCCTCCTCCTTCTTTTTCCTGTCTCCCTCCCCAGCCCTCACTTCCTTCCTCACCCCTCTCTCAGAAATCTGAAAGATTCACCATACTAACAAGCCCAGGCCATTCTACTAGAAGATGAGAAACAGTATCAAATAGACACAGCCATTCCAGCTATGGTTACCCTAGACCAGTCAGCCCAAACTGACCCCATAAACTAACTATATGCATTTGAATGAGGTAAACCACGATCAGAACAACACAGCTAAGTTCTGACTCAAATAATTGTTTAATACATAAGTGGTTGGTGTTTTAAAATAGTTAATTTGGTGTGGTGTGATTTGTTATACAGAAAAACACTAGCTGGTACTTACTCTTTGGCACTTTGATCTATACATTATAGCCTTAGGAACACACCATCATAAGTTGGCTACCTTACCATACATATACAGCATCCTGGAGTACAACATCCCAAAAGTGCTGGATGTTAGCCCCATGATAACACATTTATTGAGGTTGTGAGAAGTTAGTCCACTGTTTTGTTAGCCTCATTGCTTCTGGGAGAAAGAATATATGACAAGACCAGCAAATCCTGGCCATATGACTGTTATCTCACCTCCTTTGGCACAGAATGTTTCCTTTGAGCTCAGGCAACAATGACAGAGCAGGCATTTATAAGATCAAGGATGGTATTGTTAACAGAGTGCATCAGCAGGAACACAAACCCTATATTTGGAGAACTGGTCAATCCTACAAAGGAAGAGATAACTCAAATTGGAAAAAAAAGTTATTTGTTATTGGTGTTATTTGTATATGTTTCTTATTTGGGAGTTTCTTAGAGAGTAGAGAAGGAGAGGTTTCAAAACCCTTCCTGGAAGCCTATGAACAACCTTCAGATCTTTAATTCCTTAATCTCCTTGTAGAATCATCTGCCAGGTCATTATCCCTACAGTGCAATAATGCCATCGAGAAATCCCCAAGGGGGATGAAGCAATTATTGCTAGAGTTGAGGGAGCTTGTCAAGATTGGGGTCCCAGGGGCTGGAAAGAAAATTTTAATATGGAAGAGGCCTTCAGTCATTCTCATTCTCACTGCACCAAGCATAATCTGTTTGAGAATCATCCCTTCTCTCAACCTGTACATCTGAGGAAAGGGCAAATTTCTCCCATGTTTATGCTTCCCATTACCTCTGAGTGAGATTGGGAAGCTAAATTCCCTGTCCAGGAGGTCCTGATACGAGTACTTGGTAAGTGCAATGGGAACTGACCAGGTTTGAAGAAACAAGAAAAAAATATGTTTTTCTTAGACAAGCAAGACAAATTCACATTCCACTCAAGGTTAGCAGGCATTATCTAACATATAGTAGGTGCCTACTAGCAGTTGTGGGATTAATTAATCAAATATTGGGTGCCCACCATCTGAAGGTATGAAATCCCTGATACCATCATGGTTTAGTGAAAAATAGGCTAGATTTCAAGTCAAGGAATCTTATTTCAGTGACTGGGGGTGTAACTCAGAGATAGAACAATTTCCATTCAAACTCCAGCATCACAAAGAAAGAAAACAGAAATTTAATACTCAGCATCTACATAATGAGGATACATGAGACATATTTAAAGTTTCTTGTGCAGATTAACAAATAATGGAAATGTTTAGTGTATCACAGAGTACTTGGTAGTTGTAACTATATTTTGTCTATCTTGGTGAAAAATTTATGATTTTTTTATATGGTTATAGAATTTATTAAGCTGATTTCATACACTTCTAATTGTTTTATCACATTTTCAACAGCAAAACCATTTCATCTCATGGAATAGTGAAGGAACAACATCTTTACTACATCACCACTATTACCATCTGCATGCACAGTAAAGTCATAGTGATTATAAATATATATATATATAATATATAATCAAAGAAGAGAACCTCTTCTTTGTAATTATTGTTAAAATATAACAAAAACATTAACAGGAAGTATTATTAATCTACACCTCTGTCTTGACATTCTTTTCCTCTGTTTTCTACATTATATAACTACTTATGTTATATAACTTTTTAAGTTATTTGCAAATATTTTGGTGTTCATAGTTCATGCAAACTATTTTTGGAGCTTTAACTATCCACTTGTTAATAAAATTAATATACTTTTCTTTTGAATCTTAATAAAATAGTTTATTGACACCTTTGGGGTCTAATGATGAGGTCTACCTGGTTCTCAAGTAAGGATGGCCCCTATAGTATTAGACAAATATTTTGGGGAAAGTCTTATTTAAATCTCAATGTTTGGCATGGAGCCATTTAGAATGTCAGTCTCATGGACGTGTTCCAACACATAGCAGACAGTAAGGCAGCCACATACAATTCAGAATATTCAAGGGTTAGTGTCCAACATCACAAGGAGGAAAAGAATTTCTGCCTACTGAGGAGAGATATGTGCAGATCCTATAGAAATCTTGGTGAGTAAGGTGGAGGGACATAGCCAAGGCTCAGTGAGACTTGGCATAAAGCATCAGAGAGGAGATAAGAGGCTTAAAGAGAGATCATTTGGTAGATGGGACTAAAACTAGGTGAATATACAAAAAAAGGGAAACTTTATTTCATTCTTTGGGTTTTACGCAGATCCAAGCAATGGAAAAAGAAAATCAAACAAGTGTTTCTGAATTTATTCTTCTGGGCTTCTCCAGTTGGCCAGGGCAGCAGGCGCTCCTCTTTGCACTTTTTCTGTGTCTCTATTTAACAGGACTATTTGGAAACATACTCATCCTGCTGGCAATTGGCTCAAACCATCACCTCCACACACCTATGTATTTCTTCCTTGCCAATCTGTCCTTTGTAGACCTCTGTCTTCCTTCAGCTACAGTCCCCAAGATGCTACTAAACATTCAAACACAGACTCATTCCATCTCTTATCCGGGATGCTTGGTTCAGATGTACTTCTGTATGATGTTTGCCAACATGGACAATTTTCTTCTCACAATGATGGCATATGACCGTTATGTGGCCATCTGTCATCCTTTGCATTATTCTACCATTATGACCCAGCATCTCTGTACCTCTCTGGTGACTGTATCTTGGATCATTGCCACTTTAAACCCTCTGTTGCATACTATTATGATGGCCTGTCTGCACTTCTGCTCTGACAATATCATCCACCATTTCTTTTGTGATATCAGCTATCTCCTCCCTCTCTCCTGTTCTGATACCAGTCTTAACCAGTTGATGGTTTTAGCTGTGGTGGGGCTGATTTTTGTGGTACCTTCAGTGTGTATCCTGGCATCCTATATTCTCATTGTCTCTGCTGTGATGAAAATCCCTTCTGTCCAAGGAAAACTCAAGGCTTTCTCCACCTGTGGATCTCACCTTGCCTTGGTTGTTCTTTTCTATGGAGCAATCACAGGGGTCTATATGAGCCCATCCTCCAACCATTCAACTGACAAAGACTCAGCTGCATCAGTTATTTTTATGGTTGTAGCTCCTGTATTGAATCCTTTTATTTATAGCCTAAGGAACAATGAACTGAAGAGGACTTTCAAAAAGACCCTAGGCCAGAGAAAAGTCTTTTCCCAATGATTTAGAGTGACTGAAAGGAGTTCAACAAAAGAGAAATTCAAGTAAGATGATTATTTTTATTGTCTATTTTACAAAGCTGTTATTAAACACCTATTTAAACTCTTCCTTGACCTACATTTGCTACAAACACTAGAAGTGATCAATCTTATCCATTTAAGCTGATGTAGACAAAATATTTCTATCTTGAGTCTTTGAATATCCCAATAAAATATGCACTCAACATTTAAATGTTTCATTAAGACAAACTAGATAGCGCAGATTAACATGCATTTGTACCGTGGGAAGTGAAAATTAGAGCTTTTTCCAGGACTATACTCTGTCTGGAGTGGACAGTAGGTAATACATTTTTGCATGAAAAACACTGAAGAATAAAATCACTATGTTATAAACACATCAAATCTAAGTACAATGTGAGGTAAAAGGGAAAACATATTGGTGAGAGCTTCACAGGTCAAGCAAAGCTGCAAGAAAAAGACAGCACTTAATCTCAATCATGAATATGGGTGAGCTTTGCACAGGAATGATGAGAATATTCAAAACACATGAGGAGGAGTTGTAGAGAAGGATCATGGTATCAATAAGTAAATATTGAATGCATTAATTAGCATATAGTGAAGAATGTGATACTCATTTTTCACCCTAATGTTTTGTACATATTCACAGCTTCAGATGGTCTTCTATGCATTTTGTATAACCTGTCTTCATTCTCTAATGTAAAAAGCAGTATTTATATATGGGCCTTTATCTATATAAATCCTTGTGCTCATCTACAAAGAATGCCCAGAAGGCAAAAATATCTCTAAACATTGCAAAAGACATGCTCAATTACTTTCATATGATGTAATAACTTTAAGGCAGAAATGGATTAAAAGATAGAAATAGAGTTGGATGATTCATTAGAATGATTAAAGGAATGAAGAACCAGGCTCAGAAGCCTACTAGCAGACCACAGCCAAAGCAACATACAGAACCATCTTATGAGTTGTCTGAAGTCACTGACACTAAATGCTGGATGTGGAAGTTTGTCCCACTGATGCTGACTGCCCTGGACACTGCATGCTAGCCTGCTGCCACTGAGGACCCACCACCAGAAAGAAATTATACTAGAATTGCCACCTATCCTTTATTCAGATAATAGAGAGGCTGTAGCTGAATGGTCAAACAAAACACATACCCTTTCTCTAAGTACAAAGAAGACTGGGAAACAGAATATCTCAAAATTTCCCCTGTACAAAACATCATGTTTTGCCTCCCAGATCCCCTTTCAGGAGTGTGTTACTTGTTTCTCCAGTAGCTGGGAATGTTACTGGCTGATAAGAGCCCTCTGTGGCAGTCCTCATTAACTGCTAACTGTAAAATAAGATATTGATAAATTTGACCATATTCAAATTAACAGTTTCTGTTAATCAAAAGAACCTACAAGGAAAGCAAAAAAAAAAAAAAACTGCTATAAGTTTGGCAGAAAGTGTTTGCAACACATAAAACTAGCAAAAAATTTATCTAGAATACATATTCATAAAAATCATTAAGAAAAGCTTAGAGAATTCAATACAAAAATGGAAAAATATATAAGCAATTATTTCATAGTAAACAAATATTAAAGTGTCAATATTGTTTAAAATGTCGTCTGTAGTACTTTAATCAGAGAGAGATATACAATGACAACATTTGATACCCATTCAATTGGCAAAAATCAAAATCTCTTAAACCAATTGATGAAAAGTATGTCTGAATAAACATGGATGGTTGGAATATAATTTAAACAAATACATTGGAAAATGATTTGACTTATTTTACAAAATTTGACATATATATTCTTCACTCAGTAATTCTACTCCTGGAAGACATTCTTTCACACATACAAGAAGATTTATAGATACATTGTTTGAAATGATCATTCATTGAACAAATTACTTATTGTGAGTATATTTCATGATAGACACTATTAAATGTTTGGATTCAGTAGTGAACAAAACCGACAAGAAGTATGACTTTAAAGATCTATGGTCTTGGGCTGTGGATGTAGCTCAGTAATAAAGCACTTGCCTAGCATACCAAGGTCCTGGGCTGGAACCCCAAAACTGAAAAAAAAAGTGTGACAGAAAAAGTAGAGCAAGGAAAAAGAATGAAGAGTATGAGATCAATCTTACTGAGGAAATATGACTTGGGCAAAGACTTAAAGGAAGTGAGGGGATTATCTATGTTTGAAGCAGAGCAAACAACCAGAACCATGGTACTAACCAAGAATATATAGTCCAGATCAACACGGCAATTCACTGGGGGTGAAGCAGAATGAGCAAGGGAAGACAGTATTAAACAGACTGTATAGAGTACAGGTCATATAGGGTTTTATAGACCACATTAAGGATTTGGGGGATTGAATGAAACTGAAAGGGTTTAAAGGACTGTGATAGAACTTGTGCTTCAACAGTATCACTGGTGGTTCTATTCTTAAAAAACTGTGGGAGATTCAAGTAAAAGCAGAGGCATCACTGAAAAGCCTGTTGCAGTAATGCATAAGACATTATAGTCTTATCAGCCCACCTTTAGAAAAACAAGTGAATGCAATGCTATGTTTACAACTGAAATATTATACAATAATGAAAATTAATTTTAATTCAACAATGTGGATAAATATTTTATAATGTTGAATGAAAAGAAGCAAACAGCATATATATGGCATGTTACCTTTTAGATTAGAAGCAACTAAAATTAAATCATATATTATTTGGGCATGCATATGTATCCAACAGAACTATCTTTTCAAAAATCTAGGAAACAAACACAAATTTTGTGATAGTGGTTACCTGGGAAAAGAGGAGGTACAGAGAATGACTAAACAAAGAGTAGTAGTAAATGCACATTGTTAGGGCCGGGGTGTGGTTCAAGAGGTAGAGCACCTGCCTAGCAAGCACGAAGCCCTGAGTTTAAATACCAAAACAGGCCCCCCAAATAATTTAAAAAATAAATATAAATATAAATTGCTGTAAATCTATTCCTTATAGATTGGATAATTTTAAAATGTTCCTGCTCTAGGGAAGCACAGACTAAGTGTTATGATTAACACCATGATCCAGGAATTGTGATTCATTCCATTTTGTGCGTGTTCTGCTGGGCCAGAAAGGTGTAAGACTGTAAAAAATGCTGCCTGGGAATGCAAGAAAGTTTTACAGAGCAGTTGTACATTGTCCCTGCTGCTTCAGTCTCATTGCTCGGATTAAAATCAAGGCTGAACTTAACGCAGAGAAACTAAAGCAGATACCTTAAAGCAACTGAGGCCAATAGGAAAAGGGGACCAGGAACTAGAGAAAAGGTTAGATCAAAAAGAATTAACCTAGAAGGTAACACCCACACACAGGAAATCAATGTGAGTCAATGCCCTGTATAGCTATCCTTATCTCAACCAGCAAAAACCCTTGTTCCTTCCTATTATTGCTTATACTCTCTCTACAACAAAATTAGAAATAAGGGCAAAATAGTTTCTGCTGGGTATTGAGGGGGGGAGAAGAAGGGGGCGGAGTGGGTGGTAAGGGAGGGGGTGGGGGCAGGGGGGAGAAATGAACCAAGCCTTGTATGCACATATGAATAATAAAAGAAATGAAAAAAAAATAAATAAATAAATAAATAAAATCAAGGCTGAAGCTGCATGAACACAAAAGTGCCAGGCTTATTACTACCACAGAGGGTGGAAGAAAGTTACCTCTTCCTTCAATCCCTGAGATCTTCTGGATTTAGACAACTATGCCTGAAGAACCTCTTCGGAATGCCCAAAGGAACCGCGAAGGTTTCTGGGAATCGTAGTCCAAAACCCGCTTGTGTTTTGCGCTGTCGCTCCAGTCCTGTGCACCGAATCCGTGAGAGGTTGCGCAGTTCGGTCCTTCCACCGGAAGTGTGGGATCGGAACCAGCCGGTAGGAGAGGTGAGTTTGACAACCCAGCTCTAAATATCCAGACCTTTTCATGTTCCCTTCAGATGCAGCGTCCTCGTGGCAACTGGACGCTGTACCTCAAAAGAATCCCGGAGCAAGGTGCAGCCCATCTTTAGAGTTGAGAAGGCTTTCGCTGCTCCCTCGTATTCCTGGAGGGTTTGATGGACTCCATAGTTCCCACGGCTGCGTGTGACGTCATCGCCAGAAAGGGCGTGGTTTAGGGGGACGTTCTGCTGGCATTGTGGTGTCACTGAAAACAAGAGTGGCCGGATCCAGCCTTTTGAGATGGGAAGAGGTGGCATGTGTCTCCAATCTGCGCCCAGAACGCCCGCTTTTTTGAAAGGAGCAACTGCCTTTCGCAAAGTAGTTGAAAACTCCAGTGTCGCCCAGAAATTTATTCACACAGTAAATATTTAGTATGTTATGTGTGCTGGGGCTGGAGTGAAACCAGCACTGAGCCCCTACTGTGGTTCTAGAAGGAGACAGAAAAGCCGGCAGTTTTCAGACTGTGAAAAGTGTTTCAGTGTTAAGACGCGGGGGCCTTGCCCAACCCCACTTCCTTGCAGCCTCCCGCTCTACAGCCACCACCAGATTTCCCTGAACTCCTCTCCTTCCACCAACAAAACTCCCTACCCCCAGCTCTTCCCACAACATTCGCACTAGGGACCTACTTAACATCAGGAGTTCTGATCTTTAGGAACACCTACCATTCTCATGATTACTCCTTCCTTGCTGTTTGCTTAGCGTTTGTTTACACATCTGCTTAACATTCTTGTAATTCCAACAACAATTGTAAGATATTGGGGTTAACAGTGAGCACAGCCAAGATAGGACTAGATACCCTCCCCACTTGCAGATGGCTTACTAGAAACTCCCCACCCAACTTCAAAGACTAACAAAGGGACAGTTGTTAACCTTTATCTTCAGATGGGTGCCAAGGACAGTTGAGCAGTGACCTAACCACAAGTTATCTTTCTTGGTTGTCCAGCAACGGTATTCCTTCCTGACCTTCCTGGTACTTTTCTATCAGCCCCCTGTATCTAGCTCAAGTCCGTGTATGGCAATGGGCTCTAGCTCTCTTGCTGGGGTCCCC